TTCTCCTAGAAGTAAATGTGCAGGTATACTGTGTGTAACATCCAATTTCAGCAACCTTTGGGTTTCTGTACATTCTATGACTTTGCTTACTTATCCCTGAGGTCTAAGCGTAAGCATCTTTCTCTGTGATACCTTCCTATGGCCTCCAAAGACTACGCCAGGTGTGTCTCCAATATATTCTTATAGTCTCATAGCATCTGTATCACTGGATATGCCAGACTATTTACGCTGCCTCCTTCTTTAAGTACAGAGACTGTGTCCTTTGCCTCCATGACTCCTCAGCACCAGCACAAGTAAGCTCAGCAAATATTTATTGAATAAATGTACGAGTATTTCTTTACGAAAGTAAAACTCATGGTTGTTCCCACTATCTTTTTTCCTTCCTATTAATCAAAGATATAAAGTAAAACATCAAGAGCATGATAAGGATTTTAAAAACAGGCACTCAATTTGCTGCTTCAGATGGACTTCTCCGACAGATGACTCTGACATTCACATTAATTTCAAGGCAATATCATCTTTTAGGATATGGTCAGAGGATAACGGGCCACACTAGATTTTTAATTACAAAATCAAGACATTTTTTCAATCGATGCAGTAAGGTGGATCCCATGCGGAGTCCACTTTTACTCAGTACGGCTTGACAGCTAGCATTAAATCTTTCCAAGGGTTTTCGTTTCACTTGGCCTCCTTTAGCCCCAGGAGTTTTTATACAGTACACACTTTCCACATGTAATTAAGTAATGGAGAGTGAGTTGTTATACATGACATTTAATTTTCAGTAGTGGGGGAAGGTATGACAAGAGCTGCAGGCAAGATCATTAATCTCCTTGGATCCCAGCACTGCCAAATATAGCAACTCATTCTTTATCATATTAATATAGCTCTCCTTTTGCACTTAAACTGAAGTGCTATGTAGAGGGGATAATGTCAAATAGGAAAACCCAGAGAACTGCATATGTGGTACCTAGAAGAGTTCATGTGTGCTACAGGGCACAATTACAGGATTGTCCAAAATCTAATGATGTGGGGGTAAAAAGGAAAAAATCTGGTTATGTATGTCATGTACACATAGCAGCTACTTGCTAATTTTCACTAAATTAGCTCACTTGCCCCTTGTGAATTATAGATCAATTAGTGTATGAATAAATACAAGTATTATAAAAATGACAAGGATGTGATCACACAAATGTACATCACTATAGACTAAAGGCCCTAGTTAATTAAAATGTTGCCTGCAGCATATTTTAACAGCTTTCTATGATTACTGCTAATCATAATCCCAAACCTGTGGCCAGTTCCCATTTTTATATCAATTTGTCATTAAATTTGGAAAAAAGCTGCCAAGGTATAAAAGCCAAAAATTTCTGTATAATGGAAATGTACAGAGAATCAATAATTTCAACTAAGGAAGGCAATATCACCAAATAGAAGCACTAACTGTACAGAAATACAATTTATGAAAGTAAGTTTTAAAGTAACATTATATAACACAAAACAAGTTACTCAGTTTTAAAGAAAAGTATAATTGCATCTTTTGTGCTGAGATGATTTGTATTAACTTCCACTTTTACTCAGCATGTAAAAGTGATAACAAATCAATATTTAATTGCTTCAGAATATGGTTTCAAAATAGGCAAAATTAGGGTTCTTGTAACAATAGTCTGAAGGAATAATATATAGGCAGAGGTTGAAAGACATATCTAAATTAGTAATGAGCTAGACAGCCTGAAGGAGAAAGAATGCTATGTCAGATAGCACCTAAAATGCACAGGTTAGCCCAGAGACACCAATCTACCGTTACACCCCAGTGTTGATGAGGTATTCGCCTCAGAGCTGATGTGCAATATTTTTTTTCTGATTTCCTTAAGTGCTTTAAATTCTGGCACCATTTGATATCATTTACCTCAGTAAAATCTATTATAATATATTTTATTGACGTGGGATTAATTCATGCTGATTAGATTTCTCTTCATACATTCCTTCATTAAACAGTGTCCTGTTCCTTGTTCGAATGTCAGGCTGTGGTCTGGAGCCAGCAGCCACCGCCAACCCCAGAGAACTTAAATGAGATGTTTTAGGCAGGCCGTGCCCATGTCTCTTATTCTAACATTTACCAGCAATGGTTTTATATAATGTCTGCGGTTATCTCTTTCTGTGTTTAATCATTATGATGTTAATTAAAGCATTCTTAAACTGTGAATGTGTTTCACTGAAAAAAAAATATTTAAGATTCCAGAATTAGACAAAGTATATATGAAGGAGTGGTTTTTCTTTTTCTTCCTCTGTCCTCCCAGATGACTTCCTTCCTTTTTATTTATCTCTTTTCTTCCTTCCTCCCTCCCTCCCTCCCCACCTTTTTCAGCCACAATCACCACCATCAATATTATCATCATCTTCATCACTGTAGCAGTGAACACTGTTGAGTGCATATTGCCATTCAATTTATATGTTTTAACACATAGACAATTTATGAGATAGTTATGTAATCCCCATACTACAGATCAGGAAATGGACCAAGCTCATATGGCCAGGATACTTTAGAGCCAGGTGTTAAGCCCAGGCAGGGTGAATCCAGGGTTTCTTCATTTAATCACTAAGCCTTATAGTTCATTCTTGCTTTAGAAAAGAATGAATCATGTTATGTAAGAGTTCTCAGTCAGATGAATAGTTCCTTCCCTTAGAGAAACTGAAGCATTAACTAATAGATAAAATGTTGGCACACAAATTACCAGATACATATCTACAGAATCAAACAAAAGGTTGTCAGATATGTTTCTATTTCTTGATTTAATTTACACTCATTTTTCTTTATACAGTCTAAAAGTGGATATGACAGTAGATTGTTCAAAATCATGCCTACATCTTTTTCTCTCGATGAAAGAAAATATAGAAAATCTTCCTGATTATTTGGGAAACTAGTGGGGAGAAGGATTAAGGATGAGAAATTTTATATAACAATGAGTTGTATATCTATATGTATTTTTAAATCTACAAAATAAGTCAAATTAACTTACTATGACTATTGTCTTTGGAGAATAAATAATCTGGAATTGCTTAGTAGGAGCTGAAAGGAAATTTATTCAATAAAGATTTTTGAATGCTCACTATGCTCTATGCACTATGATTTAATGACCATGTAAGAAAGATTTATAGCTAGATATTACATGTTTTGAATATTGAAACATGTAAGAAAGATATTACATGCTTTGAATATACACTGATACTTCTAATTGCTTAAAATCACTTCCAGTAAATCAGCATTCAGCAGCAATCTCCATCAGGCTTACACCATTAATTTACTGAACAAATTAGTTACTTGAGTCTGATCCCTCTGAACAATCAAAATTGAAGTAATCAGACACTAAATTAATGGGGCTTTGTTAACGTTATTAATATTCTACTTAACTTTTTCTTCTGAATTCCTGATAATTCAAATTACTTAACCTTTCTTTCTTGAAGGAGGAGGGTTCTATTTCCCAACTACCTAACTGCATTAAGTGATCTCCTTTGGCTCTTACTCAATTTTATTTTTGCTCTCTTTAAAATGGGATGGCCTAGTGTGGGTAATAAAGGCCCCACAAGTGCTAAAGAGGCCACAGTAATGTTGATAACAGCCCTGGCAACAGTCACCACCATGTGCTGAGCACTTATGTATATATCTTCTCATACAATCCTTACCCAACTTCATACAAAGTTTTCAAGCCTTAATGGCCTGAACTCTTTTACTTATATGGACATCTCTTGATGGACATCTTAAGCTCTTGAACAGCTGACCTTTCCGTAAGTCCATTCATCTAACTTTAACGTTGCAACCTCTGGCAACAGGAGAGGCAAAGAAACCCAGAAAGGAGACTGGTGCCTCACAGAGGGCTTCACAGTGAATAAGACAAAAATGTGTCTTAACACACAGAGACAGGTTAGAAGGAAAGGTTGCTTCCTCTGGGAGCAGGAGTTAAAAACTGGAAAGCCAGAAAGTGCTATGGCATAGGAGAAAAGGGTGCCAATGTAGGGTTTGTTCAGGAGCAAAGCAGCAACAGCCTGTGAGGCTGACTGCAGGAAGGAATACTTCAGTCACCCATGTCAGTGCCATAGCTGGGACTTCAACTGCTCCTTAATCCTAGTGTTCCCTGGGAATGGATAGGGCTTACTGACAGGTAATGACAGAGAGGGGAAGAAAAGAATGATCACACCCATCATAAAATGCCAGCAGACACTCTCAGTTTTACTCTATGCTAGAAACTATGTTAGCATTTCAAAACTTTGAAATATTAAATGAATGAGGAAGGTATTTCATTATCCGCATTTCACAGATGATAATGGAGGCCCAGAGGACAAAAAAACAAAGGGGTCATTGACATACAGGGTTAGTTTTATCACCTAAAAATAATTCCGAATTACCTGTCATTTCAGTCCAATAACAGGGAATCAGGCCTCATTCCATTGTTGATGACGCAACCACGGCTACCACGAATGAGGATTCCCAGTTCTGATTCATTTACAGTGAAAGGGCTGTCAGTTAGAGGTGATGGACAGCTAAATGTGGAGCCCCAAACACACCACATGACTATAGACAGCAGAGTTCACATCTGCTCCCCTCTGGATTTCTCACTAGTGCTCTTAAAATGAAGCTCCAAAAATTTTCCTGCCTATCCTCTGATGAAGACATTAATGAGTCAGCAAATGAATCATATGATGTCCCCGGGAGGAGAGGAGAGAAGGTTCTATTTATAGACAGGATAATCAGATCCAGGAGAGGAAGAATTTTTAAAAATTGAAATACAAATGTGAGCCTCCACTACTAATTGTATCATGAATAACAAGAAAACTTCATAACTAAAACAAGCTACTCCTCTTAAAGTGACAGTTACAAAAGGAAAATGTATTTTTAGAATACAGCAGTTTTGTTAGACAAACCAAAGATAAAATAGTCTTATGCAAATAATAACATCTCCAGAAGAGATCTTAGATTTTTAGGAAAGCAAACATATCTATCTTACCTGATGAAAACCAGCTTGACTTTTGACGGAGCTGTCTTAATAATGGCAGATGCATTTTGGTGACTTCTTCCATACAGGATCTGATTATTTATCTGTTTGGGAAAAAATAAAATGCACTTATAAAAATGCAATAGTTATATTTTGTATAAAAATACATATGTATAAACTTACACATGTATGAAAGTATATGTGTATATACTTGGAATTAAACAATGAAGTCCATTCATTTTTAAGTGGGTACATGTAGAACTCCTTAATGCTAAAAAATCTTAATATTCTTTGTAATATGGATTCAAACACTATTTCTAATGAATTCTAGCTATTAAAATCTCTTGAATTTAGTGTTGAATGCAGTTATAAAGAATACACAGTCCTTGACCCCTTTGTGAAACTTTTTCAAGAGAGCAGTAGTTGAGCTAGATGCAAAAACTTTATGATAGATATTTAATGTCCTACAGCGTTTCCAGATTTCTAAAAAATGTAGAAAACAGATCAGACTGTGGTATTCGCTAGAGCTCTGGAGGGCCCATTAAATATGATTCTGTAAACCTGTCAAGGTTATTACATAGCATAAATTTTGTTACTCCAAAGGAGGTAAATATAATATCCTTGTTTTAAGCCAAATTTTAGATCACTTACACAGAAATATTTTACTATGCAAAATCAATGATCAATGAGTCATCTCCTCTTTTCCAAGATGTGGTAAGATTTTTAACTTGACTGACTTCACTTAAATATGATCTAAAAACACTTATATTGTGAATTTTTCCACTCCACAATTTTTCCACTGATAAAATATGATGAGAGCCTTAATTAACCATTTGTTTTATTTCATTCAATTGATAATGGATCACACAGTTTGGCCTTTTTCCTTCTACCTCTTTAATACATAGTTAATGATCTATACAATAGTATCCCTATTTAACTGAGGCCTTGATAATTTCTACTATCTAAGGGATAGTATAGTGTACTATATTAGGGATAATAAAAGGGATTTATGCTTTTTGCAATTAGCATCTAATTTATCCCTGATGTCTCTGAAATTTTGCATTTGAAGAAGTGCTTGAAAAAGGTATCACTTTTGTCATAACAGTTATAATGAGAAAGTGTGTGGAAATGAATCAATCCTTCAAAGGATAGAATTAAAATATGATCCTTTCAACTATCTAAAATTAAGCTAATTGTTCCCTGTGAAGTGGTAAAGGCAGCGTTCATATCAAAGGCCATTGCAAACACTAAACTCACACTACCTCCTTACTGTGCCTCTCATTCTATCAGCTTTTGTTCACCAAGGTAATCCGCCTCCCAGAAATCCACTGATCTCCACACTGTCATTTCTCCGTGCCTCAGTTTCCTCTTCCCTGAATCTAAATATCTTCTTCATAAGTCTGTTAATAATAATTAAATGAGATAATGCCTTTAAACTTTATTTATAGTAATCTTGATACCCAAAGGATTTTTAATTTTTTAACACTGAAGTATTAAAAACTACTTATCTCTTTGGTTACGGTTTTTGACTTTTTAATATCATGTATTTACAAATGTTTCCACCTTCCATATGATGTTACAGTGATGGATACATGCCATTATAGATTTGTCCAAATCTACAGAATGCATAACACCAAGAGTGAACCCTAATATAAAATATGGATTTTGTGTGATAATGAAGTGTCAGTGTAAGTTCATCAGCTGTAACAAATATACCAATGGGGAGTTTTGATAATGAAGGAGGCTATGAATATGTGGTGATAGGAGCTATATGTGAAACTTCTGTACCTTCCTCTCAATTCTGCTGCTCTAAAAAAATAAAATCTTTCTTTCAAAAAAGTGTCTACCTTCTAGGTTATGTATTTTCTTCTAATACTTTCATGGCTTTATTTTTCTTATATTTATATCTTCTTATCTAACTTAGTTATAACAGAAATGAATGAATAAGTCATGTAGTCATTAAGAATGTGAAAAAACATACTTCATGACATAGGAAATGTCTAAAATGTTTTAAATGTCAGAACCTGGTTTAGCATATCAGAAACTAGTAGGTTAAGCATAATCACTTTTATTGCTGACATATTTTTGAATTACTTTAGCTTACAATGAATGACAAATAAGGATCTTTAAAACACAATGTAAAAATGAGACGATGTGAGCAATATGCTTCCTTCAATGCCTGGCATTCAGGTAATTATTTGCAAATGTCTTTCTCATTGTGCCTGGCCTCTGCTTTCAGAAAGTCTTTCCTAAACCAAGCTCCATCAAACCTTCCTATCTTTGAATTCTGTGGCAATCAGTTAAAAAATTTCTCTTATTGCACTTACACCCCACTTGGATCTCTTAGCATCCGTACAGGCACACATTTACTGAACTGAGCTAAACTCCTGAGGGCAGGAACTGGTTTCCTCCTCTGGGTATTCCCAGCTTGTCATACAAAGCTTGCACACAGCTAAACTCACTGAGGATGTACTGAACTGCAGAGCTCTGAGTGGAAGTGGCACCTTCATTCATCAACTGCTAGTATGCTCTCTCTGAGGTGGGTTCTAGCTGTCAAAGTGATCGAGTTAAAAAAAAATGCTTTTGATTGGCAAAAGCCTGAGCATATATAGAAAATGGAACTGTTTCATGTTTATGGATAAGACTGCTTCTTAGCTGTGATCCTCCATTTTGACAGAATAGATTACTATTATTGATAGAAAAGATTATTATTCTAAGAGGGAAAGACTACAATCCGAATGAAGAAAGCAGGTCATTAATTTTAGTTTACCTAAGAGTAAATCTCAAGTTACATCTGTCCTGGTGCTCTTTCTGAACGCTCTGAAGCTCTGGCAGAAGAAAGGCAAAGCAGCTTGGTTGCTGTTGATATTTTTTTCCAGTGCCAATACAGCTGTTTACTGCTGAGGCAGCTACTCCCTGCCTATGTTCACAGGCCTCTGGGGAAACACTGATATTCAGTGGAAAACTAGGAACAGAGCAAAAAACTCAAGATAGAGTGAAACCTGACTTAAACAGATCAAATCTAAAAGGAAAATGTAGATCTCTGGGTAAAAAAAGATCCAAGACAAAGCCTCTTTTTCATCCTCAGAAATGACACATTAACAGCTTCAAGTTTCAGGAGAGGGAGATCTCTTTTGTGTTTTCTTATATCTTATTTAATATAAAACAATTTCACTATTTAAATGAAAGGTATACCTTCCAACTACATAAGCAGTTTTTATATTTCTTCATCACTAAAGGAAACACACTCCAGAGAAAATTCAGTAAGTAATCAGAAAGAATATGATGCATTTTATGCACAATTACCTCTAGACTGTCCCTCCATTTCTGAGAAGCTGCTGTTCTCTGCGGGCATGATACTTAAAACAACAGATGTAGGACACCTTCACAGTATAGCATAGACAAAAAAGAAAGATACCTCTTGGAAGTCTTTCAGGTTAATTCAAATTAATAATAGCTAACATTTACTGAGTGCTTACTCTGTGCCAAACATTATGTTAAACTCTTTATTCACAGTGGCTCCTTTAGATCTCAGAACAACTAGGTATTATGTACTTTCTTGGTGATCCTGGAACTCCAAGCACTGGACTAATTTGCCCAATGTGATTTAGCTAGGAGTATAAAAGCCTGTAATCCTAAGGCATACCTAGAGGTCACATTATCTGTATGGTGAGTTCTAAAGTCCTCTTTATGAAGATATCTATTAAATAAACTCTAAGCAGAAACAGGAGGATGCTGGTCACCCACCATCCTAGGTCCTGCAGCTGTGAGATACAGTAGTCAGAATTAAGCATTTCACCACAACACAGAGGAAATGCTTGAGAGACGACTTAGGCTTTTGAAGTCTCAAATGCAATATGGTGTCCCTTAAAAATGCACCCTAAACAATGATATACATTTATGATACTTGTTTCATTGCAAAAATATACGTAGATTGACCCCCCTTTTCATTTTTTTTGACCCAAGCCAAAGGGAAACAAGCAAAACATTTCATTTTGGAGACAAATACTCTTCCCATCCTTTTGAGTATGAGTGATCATTCAGATTATCTAGAATTTGAAAAAACATTATTGTTCCCCATTTACTTTCAATAAACTGAGGAGAGAAACTAAGTGCCTTTTCCAAATTTCTCCTTTCAAAGATGACTCAATCATATATAGGAAAAATAACTATTTAGATGTGTCCTGATCTTTGGTATTATCTCATAATTGTGAGAAGAACTAGCTACTTCAGATTTGGTATTCCCACTCTACCCAAATAATCCATTTGTTATCTTAAAATCTGAGATCTACAATTCTTCCATTCAAGGGTAATAACCATATATCCTAATTCTGTGATAATCCAGTTTATATACGTTGTTCCACTATTAATAGCATTCCCTCTCAAAAATAACCCAGTTTGGAGGATAAGTCATATCCTTATCAAGCCATGACTATGGAAAGTGTATTTAATGCCCATCTGTCTCGATTTCTGTATCACTAAGTGAGAAAGCCAGACCAGACAGCGGATGTAGTAGAGACTGGGGATCTTTGCCAGCATACATCCATTTCTCTTCACCAGGGATGGCCTTCAAACCTTCCCATCACAAACACCACCCCTAATGGTAGGCAGCCAAGTTGGTATTGCTTGTCATGGCATTCCAGTCCAAAGCTGGGGGACATAAGACACAGGCTGGGACAATCAAGATTCTCTCTTTTGGGGGTTTTAATTTGGAGCTGAGACAGAGGTAATGATTCTTTGTCTTCTCTGAGCTTCTGTGAGATGGTCATGTTCTGCCACACAAATGAAGGAGTGGGAAAAGCCGTCACTTCCTGAGGCCCCCGTGCATCCTGATGTTCAGGTTTCAGGTGGGACACCCATACCATTACAATAAATTCTTTGGTTAAACTGCCCTGAATTAATTTCCGTTCTTTGTCATTGAAAAGTCTCTACTGATATGTAGCTAGGAACACTTCTAATTTTAAATATTAATTCACATCCAAGAGACATACCTCTGTCTACCTCCCAGTCTTATGCTCTTTCACTCAGTAATTTACCTTAGCATTCAAAAGGAAAAAATTGACAATGACAAGGGAAACAGGTTTTCTGTCCAAAGAAGCCTTTT